CCGCTCTTCCGATCTCCCCAAAACCCCAAAACCCCAAAACCCCATCATTCTTCAATCACGAGAAGATAAGGGAAAAAGATAATAATAATTGAGATTAGTTAAATAAGAAAGAGTTGCCAGAGATGACTCTTACTCTTTTTCATGCTTTCAGTGCCATAGAACGAAGATTCTCTTAGACTTTAGGGTGTCCTCAGCTTTAACGAGGTGCTCGACGTGGTAGCTGCCATTGTGATTGATCTCAGCAAACATGTCGTAGACGAGGAATGGCTCGGTGAAGTTATATTTATTGTTTGAGAAGGGCATAGTTTTGAAATGGAGAGTCATGGTGGCACCGCTTTCAACATCACCGATCTTGTATTTACCAGTGGTGGTGTTTGAGTCAGCGTTGAAGAACTTGGCAACTGGGGTTCTGTACTCTGGGAAGTATGGGTTCTCTCTGCCAGAATCCCACTCTTGATCGAAGTCAATAACGTGGTAGGTCTCTGGGGTGAAGAGCTTGCTGATTTTCTCGTTCTTGAAAATATTATCGAGGACCCAGACCTCATCGATGGTTGGCTCGCAACCCTTGTCTCTGATTCTGCTGGCAGTAGCCATCACGAAGAAGGCCAAGTGAATCTTCCAGATGAGTGCTTGGTTGAACATAAGGAAGCAGAAAGAAGTGTAGCCAACGAGAGCTCTGGTCCAGCCATCATTTGATCTATGAAGTCTTGAGTAGATTTGATAAACATAATCTGCAGCTCTCATTCTCCATTCCCACAAGTCATTCTTGAACAAATTGTTGCTGTAAGCGAATTTGTTTGGGTTTCTCTCGGTTTTTGCCTATAAAAAGGGTATTAGTCTTCAGGCTCGTTCAGCTGTTGGCAATTCTTACTTGTTCATGTCCGCTAGCTCCGTGGATGTTAGCCCAGTAGTGAACATATATATTGTCTAAACCTTGGGATGGTTTGAATCTCAAGTTGTAGGCTCCTGGGTTGGCAGTCTTTCTGAAACCTCTCATTGAAAGGTTAATCAGTCCTGAGGCGTCCTAAAAAACATAGTCAGTTTAGAGGGGAAATCTTTGACGGGTAAATAATTACTTAAACGAATCTCCATGAATGTTTAGAGGTCTGCATCTTTATTATCTCTCTATAATATTTATTATAATATAATTTGCAATTCATTTAAATTCTCTTATTGAAACTTATTGCTCTCGAGGGGTTTTGGGGGCATAAAAGGCATTCTTTCTAAA